AGGACTTTAACCACAAAAGTGCCGAATCATCATCATCAGTTGTTACTTCTTCAGATCTGATTGGCTTATCTCCATTTAATTACACCTTTGTTTGCTTGTAGATAAATTACGACCTGGATAAAGCATGGCACACATGGAGGCTGTAACTTTACCTGTTCAGTATAGTGTCGAGCCGCCACCCACGTCAGCTTCTCTTTACTGTAAAACTGGTGCTTCACCTCGAAGAAGGCCAGTCTGTGGGACACAAACATGACGAATGTCAAACAGAAAGTTTTACTGTGACAGACTCAGCAAACAGCCGTCCCCTACTTTACGGCCCTCAGCGCATCTCTCTAACGCTGCAGCAGCAGCGGCGAGAGTCTCACTTGAAGATGATGTCGTCGACGTCGGTCAGCGTGGCCCCGATGCTTTTCAGCAGCAGGTTCAGAGACTGAATGGCTTCCGTCTCCTCAACCAAGTCATCACCGCTGGAGCCCAGAGACAGACTGAGATGGAGCTGAAACAAACACACGAACACCAAGATGGAAACACAACCTTGACCCAGAGACGACACTGGGCTTATTTTGAATCCAAACATTCATCTGGTTGACTTAACGATTTAAGCCGTTTTTAAATATAAGTGAAAAGGAGAGCTCAGACTGTGCGTCTTCACCTTGATGGGTGAGATGTGGAAGTATTCGAAGTAGCTGAGACCAGATGCATCAGTCCGCGACGCCTCCATCAGCTCGGCCTGCAGGCCCTGCAGATCTTGCTCTATCAGCCCAGACTGAAACACAGACACACCTCAAACGCATGAACCCTCTGTGTGTGGTTCATGTTGGCACTTTTCACATGTTAGAAGCAGCTCTACCTTCTCGCTGTCGGCCTGGGGGTCTGCAGCAGGAGTGAACAGAGCCAAAATGGCTCCCAGGAAACCCTGATCGATCTTTACTGCCATCTCCTGGACCAAAGCCATGAAATACCTGGAGAACACAGACAAGCTCAAGACAAGCTGACAATCTTTTCCTTAATCCCATCTCTGTGCTTACCTCTCAAAAACAAGTAAGTGTGGCTTTTTCCACACACGAAGGATTTGGACTTCAGCAGGGTTGTGGTTTTAAACACCCTGCAGGTCTTTAGGTGAACTGGTTCTTACTCACTTGAACTGCATGACGTTGCTGTGCTGGTTGAACCTGGTGATGATGGACACGTCAATGAAGGGCTTTGGCTCTGTGGAGACAGAGAGCGGAGTTAAAGACGCTCGGCTCACCGTGAGAACGGTCAGATCAAGAGTTTGATCGAAGCTATGAAGAAGTTAATAAAAAGACTCCACCTGTGTCCAGAGCGATGGACTTTGGAGGAAGAACTGGATTGAAGACGATGGGGAAGATGGCACCTGGAAGCTGATTGTCCACCTGGACACAGAATGATGCCAGTCATACAAGAGTGTGTATTTCTGTGCAGGTGTGTATGCATCGTGGTGTGTGAGTGTTTACCTGCAGCCAGTGCAGCTGAGCTCTCAAGCTGCGCTGATGCACCGACTGCTTGAACTCCACTTGGATCCCAGACAGGAAGTTCCTCCTCACTTGGCAGGAAAACGGCTGACGCATCATCATGGTGGCCCCACTGAGGTTCACCTGAGAGCCAGTGACATCACAGCTTCCCTCTCAGCTCAGTGGACAATTGAAATTTAAATTGTGTGTGTATTTTTGGGGGGGTGGGCGTGTTTCAGGTGCACGTTGACCTCTCACCTCCAGGTTCTCCAGTCTGATCCAGCCGCCGGCGGACTTCCCACTCAGCTGATTCTGGTAGGCTTTCTCCAGCAGGCTGATGTTCTTGTTATTGAACGGCTTCCAGCGATTCTTTGGCTTCATTTCCCAAACAACACCCGAGCTGTGATACAAACACACATGTAACGCTGTAACACGCTTGTGATTATGTGTTGATGTTGCTCCAAGCGGTGTGCTAGGAAGCAAGATTCAGTGGGTATGATCATCTCCAGTGGGAGCTGGTCTGCACAAACAGACGTGTGCAGGAGCAGCAGCTCTACTTAGAGCTCCTCTAAAGTGCAGCCTCTCTATGTGGGAAGCTCATTTCACCCACTCATATCTGTAACCTTCTTCTTTTGGTCACTACCCAGACCTCCTGACCACAGGTGAGGGTTGAATGTATATTGACTGATAAAGAAGTTCTCTTTTCACCACAACAGTCCAGTACAATGGACACATTACTGGCCTTCTCCATCTGTCAATCTCACGCTCCACTTTCCAGTCACCTATTACCAGGATTGTAAGGATATCTGAACTCCCGTGTTTGGGTCAACAGCTATCCCAGTCCAGAGGGAGCAATCCACCGCTTAACATCTGCAAATAATTTAAACCCTATATAAACAGCTCTAAGGTAAAAAGAGAGCTGAACCTAAAAGTGTAGATAAAAATATACTGGCTAGTCCTGCTTGTTATTCCTACTCTCACCTATGTTCATAAGCTGTAACTGGTCACAGAAAGCAGAAGCTGACGAGAACAGGCAGCAGAAATCAGCTTCCTCCCAATGGGCGAGGAGCTGAGTTATTTAGGAGAGGCTAAAAGTAGCTATTTCTTCACCAACAGTGCTACTTTAGTCAGCTGGGAGTGGTTCAGGCAGCTGACTAGCAGGCCTCCTGGATGCCTCCAAGGTGAGGTGTGTCCAGGCATATCCAGCTGGGAGGTGACCCTGGGACAGACCCGGGACACGCTGGAGTTATTACGCCTCTCTAAGGACTCCGTAACGCTTCATTATCCCCTCAGAACAGCTGGAGGAGGCTGAGGAGAGGGAGGTCTGGGCATGCTTTCTCTGTCACCCAGATCTGGATAAATAGCAGGAAACTTGCAGCTGTTACATTGTGAATAAAACAAAAACAAAAAAGTAGAAGATTTTTTCTGCATATCTTGGTTGCATTTTGCTCCTCTGGACCTAAATGAGATGGCACTCATCTAGCCCATTTTTAAGGAAGAAGAGTCCATTTACAATCTCTTCTTTATGAGAACACAGACTGATTTTAAGATAAAAATGTGTTAGTCAAGAAAGCAAATAGCTAATCTCACACTGTAGACAAAGCCTGGAAATGTGACCTTGCTTTGCTGTAAACTGCTCTGGTAATGTGATAGTGTTTACCTGGTGATGCCAATGTACGCGATCTCCTGCCGCTTGCTGTTGTTGATCAGCGACAATCCAAGGTTTTGCAACAAAACTTTTACTTCCTGATCGGACTGTTCAAGCTCCTCAGCCTGACGAGCCTTTGTCACCACTCCAACGTCCTCAGTAAATATCAGCACCCGCTGGCGTCCGTCCAGGAAGGAAGCCCAGTGGATCTGAGACTGGCTGTCGTAGGAAAACTGACCAAAATCATCCTAAATGAACACAGACAGACTGTAAAGAAACTGATGTGTTTGTATTCTGGGTTTCATGAAGTTTGTGGGAAGCAAAAACGAGGAGCATATTGTTATTGCTATATCCTCCAGTTTGACTGTAATAGTACCATAACTAAAGATATTCAATAGGATGTGAAAATAGCAACGGAGACGCTAAAAGTCATCAGGAATATGTGTACAGAGGGGATCTACATCAGTAAAAGAAGCCTCAGTTCCCCAGACTTCTCTACAATCAGATGTCTTGTAGCCAGAGTGGTTGCCTCCTGATGGCCAGAAAATCAAGGTAATAATTAATTAATAATTAAGGTTGTAAAAGCAACTAAATGTAAACGAAAAACAAAACATTTTGGTTACATAAAATTAAATTAAAAACTAGACTTTAAAAAAATTTAAACCAAGAAATGATTTTGCGAACTTGGCAAATTAAAATAAAAATATTATTCTTTTCCTAGTTTGAGCTTCTGTTACGTTTTTAGTTGTTTGCCGAAAAATTTATTTGCCTGATGAAGGATTGATGTATTGAGATTCTGGATGTCTGTCTTGGCTCTGACGCGTGTTCTCCAAACAATCATAATTACAACAACAAGAACAACAACAAGAACAACAACAACACTGAAACTAATAAAAATGAAACTACAACTAAACATTTTCAAACAATAAAAACTAAACTGGAACGAGAAACTCAATCTGAAAATCAACTAAACTAGACTGAATTAAAAACAAAAAGCTAAAATGAAATAAACTAATTAGAAAATACAAACTCAATGTTTAGATCATAAATCGACACTAATCTTTTATATAAAGTAATTGATCATTTTTCTCAGTACAACAGCAGTGGCTGAAATAAATGGTTTTTCTGGTTCCTCAGGGTTCCATTTTTGGTCCTTGACATTTTCAGGTTTGTTACATTAGATTTCTTCGGTCACAACAAACTGAAAAATTATTTTTCAGAGGATGAGGTTCAGCTGTTACAAAGACACAAAGGCATAGTAATATCTGGCGCTTCCACTATTAATTAATCAGAGAGTTTCTGCTGTTTTCTGTGGGAAATCTTTTGATATGCGTTTCATCAAACCTCAATAGCGACTAAACAAAGCTCCACCTCCAGAATTGTCTCACCATGACACACAACAGTGTCTTCTTACAAAAAAAATGCAGATACGAGATTGTGTGTGAGTCTGACCTTCAGCAGATCCAGCTCTCCTGAATGATCCCGGCATTCCCAACGAAGCATGCGGACTCCTGTTGGGTCGTCCCACGCAAACCGCCGAGTCTCGCTGGGTTTCAACTCATGAAAGACGGATGAGCCGCTGAAAAGAAATGGCAAGTAGCTGGGTTTCCACCAAGGTGTTTCACAAAGAGAAAATTAACTGAAATACAAATTTGTCAGGGAACTGACATGGAGTGACAACCAGAAACACAGAAAACAGGCAAAAAAAGCTTTTTTTGTGGCCAAAAACCTGGAGCACCTCCAAGAATGCAGAAGTTAAGACAGAGTGAACCGTGTCAGATGAAAAAGTTACAGCTTTTAAACTCTGATAGGCTATAAAATAACATATATGTAGTAGTGTGTTGACCTCTGACCTCTGTCTATAGCTGATGGTAGCCCAGGGCGTGTGGTTAACCAGCAGGGCAGGAGCTGCTCCTTCATAATAATCACTGAAGCTGATGACGGTGGAGTGATCGGAGAGGTTGACGTCCACGATGATCCCACCGCACTGAAACATACACGCATTTAAAAATCTCCACAATGTACTAAACTGTGCGAGTTCGTCCGATGTGTCTGGTCTAATGCACACTAACCATTTCCATTTTTAGCAGGGTGCCGTTGTCCTGTTTATTGAAGAAGAAGGATTGGGAGGTGGATTCAGACCCGACAACACGGACACACAACTTTCCCGAGCCATTCTCCGGCCACAGAGGGAGACACTGCGCCACAACAATCGAATTATGAGAATTATAATAACATAAGGAGTTTGGCAGTGACAATAAGGAAGACAGGTCCCTACAGCCTGTCTGTTCTAAAACTAGAAATTCATTCACCTCGGTGGAAGAGATGTAGTGCCACTTGGTTTGGCTGCTGACTTCTCCCACTTCTAGTTCATAAGACGACTTGTTGACCAGAGTGTAGAAAGGACTCATGGTGACGATCCTGGTTAGTTTAAAACTGCTCATCTGAATACTAACGCCCACCTGCACACAGAGACAAGAAGCAACTAGATCAGCTCACAGCTGATGATCATTTTAATCAACCCAGGAGAAGAATGTGACACATTCAAAAGCTCCACAACCAGCCTGGTCTAATCCTCAGAAAGACAAAACAGGTTCAACAGTTTGATTAAAAGAGAAAAAGAGTTACCAAGAAGTCCATGTGGTTGGCGGGACAGCGAACGCAGCCATAACTTCCCACTGTGTCCAGAGAGAACCCGTCAGACCAGGAACTGGTGGAGACGCAAAGCTGGAGCTGATACAAAACATCAATGTGCAATAAATACACATTTTACATATTACAGAAAATGTCTGGCTTTGTTTTTATCGTCAAAAAAAAAA